ACAGAAAAAGAGGGTATGAAGGAGGCTCCAGACCAAGGGGCCGATCCCAGGAGGACTGATGGGACATGCCAGGGGCTGGTACAGGGTCCCTAAGCCTGAACATTCAAACAATACACCCAGGATAGGGTAGAGTACCAGATGACTTAGGGATCTCCCACTCTGAAAGGCTGGAAGCAAAGGGCTTCCCACTTGTCCCCCAAAGGTGGCGATCCAAGCAGAGGACTGGGAGCCCAAGACAATAGACTCAGCTGGATGGTGGTGGCACACACCTTTAATCCCAGCACTAGAGAGGCAGAGGCAGGTGGATCTGTGAGTTTGAGGCTAGCCTGGTCTACAGAGAGAGTTCCAGGATAGCCATGGTGGTACAAAAAACTCTGTCTCAAAAAAAAGGCAATAGACTCAGAGACTCAGAACAGCACTTAGTAGGGACTGAGGATCCCTGAGGTGTCTGCAGCCAGACATTTCTGAGCCCCCAAAAGAAGGTAAGGTTCTCAAGCCTATAAATCTGAGGGTATTTTGGTTTGGCTTGGTTTTATAAGACATAGCAGGAGGCTGGTCTTGAACCTAAGAACCTCCTGCCCCAGCTTCCTGAGTGAAGGGATTGAAGGAATGTGTTACCCCACTTGGGTGGGAGGGGGCAGATCTAAGATCCTGACTCATGGTACAAGTCCTCCTCAGTTGTTCTGATAACAGACATAGCTCTGCCTGCTGTGGAAGCTCCTCCCGGGTCATGGATCTGGGGCTATGGGGGGGAAGCAAGGCTAATGAATTCCTCTAAGGGAAATCTAGGGGGTTGGAGTGTGGTTCTAGTACCAGCCACAGGGCTTGCGTGGAAGCCCTTCGTTTCTCTCTGGGAAGCAGGGTTTCCATCTCTCTCCATGGGAGCTGTGCACTAATGGCCACCACAGGTCCCTCTGCAATTCCCATCATAATTTGGGTTAATGAACCACAGTAGGTCTCTACTAAACACCCCCAGGTTCCCAATCCAACAGTTAGCCCTAATGCTACCTAAGGTCCAGCTTTCTACTTCCAAATAACAGAAACCCTGAGAGACCTGCCCCCCAGCTGGGATTTTATTGACTCCTTATCTCTGGCAGATGAAGGTGCTCTTAGGGCTCCATCGGAGACCCACCTCTTAGTAAATCAACTCTCTGCAGCACTGGGGATCAAAGCCAGGCCTGACATCTGCCGGACAAGTGCTCTACCGCTGAAGTACACCTCAGCCTAGAAATACGCCATCTCCTCGCTGCCCTGGCCCCTCTTCCGCCTCCTCTTCTCCTGCCTTCCCTTCACCCCACTTTGCACGACTTAGCTGATCTCAAACTCGCAACCCTCTTGCCTCAGGTGTCCGGAGTGCTGGGTTTATGAGTCTGTCTGCACTGCCATCCCCCACTGATGGTGACAAGATGGCTGCCGGCCATCAATAGCCTCTGTAGTAAAAATATTTTCCCCAGTATTTTAACAAAAAATCCAAGTCAATATATTTGGTTGGCTGGGTTCTAGTCGGTGCTACTTCTGAGTCAATCCTGTGGCCAGGGAACTACAGGCTGTCTCATTTTCTAGGACATTCATACACTAGCCTCTGGATCTCAGAAACGGGATCATTTCTGGGGCAGAGAGTAGAACAGGAAAGGGAAGAATCCTAGAATGAAAACTGAGGAAGAGACAACGCTTATTATGGTCCATTTCCTGGACCGTGGGAGTGGGCCATTATGTCCATGCTTGGGTAAGAACACTGTCTCTTTTCCTCCTCCCTCCTCCTTCTTTCTTTTTTTTTTTTTTAAAGATTTATTTTACCTTTTTTTCTTATTGTTTATTTATTTTATGTACACTGGTGTGAAGGTGTCAGATCCCCTGGAACTGGATGATACCCTGGAACTGGATCTTCAGACAGTTGTGAGCTGCCATGTGGGTGCTGGGAACTGAACCCGGGTCCTCTGGAAGAGCAGTCAGTGCTCTTAACCACTGAGCCATCTCTCCAGCCCCCCCCTCCTTCTTTCTAAGCATGGACTACATTTCCCAGCTCCCCTTGCAGACAGGTGTCAAGGGCCATGTGACAAACTGTCGCCTACAGACTATGAGAGGAAATGACATTGGCACCAGGATTGGCTCATGAAAGCCTCCCTCCCTGGCTCCTAGAAGCTCGTGTGCTGACCTTGCACCACAGTGAAAAAAGCAGAACCACAAACAGGAAAGAGTTTGGGTCTCGGTGTCACCGCCTGGCCACGTGTTCAATAGGCCTCACAATCTACACAGTTAGAAGTAAACTTTTGTAGACAGCTGTAGCACAGTTAATAAAAACTCAGAGACAGATATTGGGGTTCAACCTGAAGGTCAGAAAAGCAAAACAGCCAGCCACTGGCTCTTACCTCTGCCTCAGTCTGAAATGGAGATCCTGCCTCCAGGAGTCTCAGAATGAGACTGTGTCTGAGAGCTATCTCCTCCAGTCTTAAAGGCGTGCCACCACAACCACCTGGTTTCTATGGCAAACTAGTGTGGCTACTGGGATTAAAGGTGTGTGTCACCACTGCCTGGTCTGTAAGGCTGACCAGTGGGGCTGTTTTACTCTCTGACCTTCATGCAAGCTTTATTTATTAAAATACAAATGAAATACCACTACACACTAGCCTCGATGTAGTTACTTTGGGCTGACTTTTGTGGCAGTTGGTTTACCCTGACAGTTACCCACGAGCAAAGAGAGGCTCAGAAGTGTGAAGCACCTTGCCTAAGGCCACACAGCCTAGAAAAGGCAGGGCTCAGAATTGAAGTTGGACTTATATCTAGTCACAAATAGCTCCTTGACTCAAAAAGCAAACCAGGGGCTGGTGAGATGGCTCAGAGGTTAAGAACACTGCCTGCTCCTCCAGAGGTTCTGAGTTCAATCCCTAGCAACCACTTGGTGGCTCACAACCATCTATAATGAGATCTGGTGCCCTCTTCTGGCCTGCAGGCATACATGCAGGCAGAACACTACATAATACATAAATAAATCTTTAAAAAAACAAACAAACAAACAAAAAACTAGAAAAGGACTATAAATCTCCAGAAATTTGTTAAAAATAGATATGCCTGGTCTGAACACTGGTCCCCTTCTGGTCTGGTCCCCTCCCAGTAGGACCTCTGGCCTGTTCACCCTGTTTGTACTGTTGGGCCTGGGCTTCTCTTTTTCTTGGTGTGTGTGTGTCTGTCTGTCTGTGTGTATGTGCATGTGGTAGGGCATACAGGTGGCTTGAGTGTGTGTGGATATAAGGGTGGCTTAGGGGGTATACAGGTGGCTTGTGGGGGGTATACAGGTGGCTTGTGTGTGTGGACGGGGTGGTATACAGGTGGCTTGTGTGTGTGGACGGGGTGGTATACAGGTGGCTTGTGTGTGTGGACGAGGTGGTATACAGGTGGCTTGGGGGTATACAAGTGGCTTCTGTGTGTGGACAGGGTGGTTTACAGGTGGCTTGTGTGTGGGGTATACAGGTGGCTTGTGTGTGTGGACGGGGTGGTATACAGGTGGCTTGTCGGGGGTATACAGGTGGCTTGTGGGGGGTATACAGGTGGCTTGTGTGTGTGGACGGGGTGGTATACAGGTGGCTGAAGATGCTTCCCAGGATCTCTCTTCAGTCCCGAATAGAGACATGTTCTTCGACACCTCCCCTGGTCTCCTCAGCCCTCTAACACCTACTTCAGTGACTCCTCTCTGTACCTCCTAGGCCTGACCCGACCCCTACCCAAACAAGCTGAAGCAGAAACTCGGGCTCGGGTGACTCCACTTTCCCTTGCTCCATCCGTCAGTTCCCCACATTAGCTCCATGGAAGACTTTTCTAGAAGGCAAATCTGATCCTATCTCTCATTGCTTAAAGCCTTCAGGATCTATCCTCCAGATATCCATCTTCTGCTCCCATGATGCAGCTGTGCTGGAACTGGATCTCTATCCGTGACACACGGCTGATGTTTCTCACGTTTAATTCCAACAGCTTGTGACTGCTTGCAACACCCTCTTCATTTGTCCAAACCCTCCCCGGGAACACCTGCCTCCGCCTGACTGTCCTGGCCTCTCACGTGAGGCAGCCAGCCTGCTGGCAAATTGCCACTAGCTGCCCCGTGGGAGAGTTAGAAAACTCTGGGGCTAGCTAGGCCTGGAGCTGTGAGGCCATGACAGCTGCCCGGAAGTGGGGAGAACAGGCCTGCCCTTTGGACAGCCTGCTAGTGACCATGTATGTCACCCTGGATTGGAGACACAGAAGCCGCAGACAGAGAGCTGGACTATGTAATGGCTCGGTGGGAATGAAGGGAACTTTGGAGAGATGCTTAGAAGTCCTGATGAGGACAGCTGAGCAGGTGGAGCACCCTGACAGGTGTATTCACCTGGGAGGTAGGAACCACAGTTTTGCTCAGCCCATGTGGTTTGAAGACAGGGTGGAGTGGCCTGGAGCAAGGGGTAGGGCTGCCAGAGCAAACAACCAGGCCTCCAGGCCCTGCCTTCTAGCAAACATCAACTCACAGCTGTGGATGGGGGCAGTGGGAGGGACTTGGGGTTAATGTCCCTGAGGCTGGCCGAGGAGGTGTGTGCTTGGGAGGAAGTAGGGACGTCTGCTGCTCGAATGCCTACAGCTCCGTGTCTCAGGGGGCAAGGTTTCCAGTGGGGAACCATCCCTGGCTGGCTCTGTCTGCAGCAAAGTCCTAACAAGTTTCCTAGCAACTTACAAATGGAGAGACTGTCTGTGTACTATTCTGGTCAGAGGGGAAGGGATGGAGGAAGATACCTAGGGATGCTGGAGCTGAAACGTAAAATGTCAGAATAGGAGCTCAGGCTCCTATTACAAGTAGCACACACTTGTAATCCTAGCATTCTGGAAGCTGAGGCAGGAGGATTGCCAAGAATTTGAAGACAGCCTGTACTACATCGCAGACCCTGTCTCAAAAAAATCCAAAGTAAACAAATAAAATGTCAGTTGGAAGGAGATACAGCCATAAAAACAGCATTCCTTCACCTCTATGCCAGCTGAGACCCAGCTGATGTCACAAGGTCTGGACAACCCTTCACAAGCCACTAAAAGGCTCAACCTGTCCCTGTCCTCACCATTCAATATCCTGAAGGCATAGAGGGTTGGAAATAGAAGATGAGAAATCCTGGCTCTGGGTGCCCAGTTCAGGCAGGTCAGAGGCTTCAGGCTGCATGGGTGCCTTAGGGCTTAGGTGCCAAGAAGCACCATCCTGGCAGCCTTGGTGATCCAGAGACAGCACTGAGTGCAAGAGCAGAAGGGCGGTGATGAGGTCACCCTGTTCTCTTGGCTCCTTGTCTTGGAAGGTGAGTGGTCTCTGCCTTCCCCACCTCCCTGGGCCTGCACCCGGTTGGCACTCCCTGGCAGTGCTGACAGGGAGATTTCCTCTGTCTCTGTCCCTCCCTCAGCCAAGGTCACTCCTGCTGGGCATCCTAAGCAGGGAACCCCTCTGCCTCGCTCCTGCTCCCGGGAGAATCTCTCTGGATCCCCCATTCACCGGCGAGGGAATGCTTGAGTGGTAGGTAACATCCTGGTGCTCTTTACCTTTCTTCTCCACTGGACCACTCTTAGGGTCTTAGAGATGCGGGTGCATGAGCAATGAGCGCTCATCGCAGGACCTTTGGGAAAGAATAAAGCGCACACATTCAGCACCCGAGGAAAGCATCAGGTTGCTTCCTCTGCAGGAGACCCACGAGTGCACAGCGTCTGCTTCCCGCCAGACCCGGGGTCGCTGCGCTGAGGTGGAGTTGGGAAGGGAAACCACCCAGCAGACAGCTGCAGTTTGCAAAGCCCCGCTCCACCCCTAGGGCACCGAGAGGCGGCGACGTGGCAGCTGCACGCACCCCACCTCTGCAGACCGGGTTCGAGGCTCCCGCAGTCTTAGTGCCGGGTTCGGTAGGACTGGCGGGGATTCCGTCCCCGCAGCCCGGAGGGGTGGGGCGGGGCGGCGGCGGTGGGGGCAGCCGGAAGGGGTGTGGGTGCGGGGGCGGGTCCCGCGCCGCCCCGCCCAGGGGACGGAGCCTGGGGCGCAGCATCCTGGCGCGGGCCAGGCCGCCTCAGTCACTGCCGTCGGGGAAGGTCCCAGCGCGGTCATGGCCTCGCGAGGTGCCCGCCCCGGCTCAAGTCCTCAGCACCCCGCTCAGTAACCCCGAGGAAAGGTGGCCTGGACGTCGCGGACGGCTGGGCGGGCAGCATGGAGGAGGCGCACCTGCTCCCGGCTGCCGACGTGCTGCGCCGCTTCTCGGTGTCAGCCGAAGGCGGCTTGAGCCCGGAGCAGGTGACCGACGCGCGGGAGCGCTACGGCCCCAACGGTGAGCGCGAGTCTCTACCCCCCGCAGTGGGGAGCGGTCGCCCCCCCCCCCATCCTTGCTCTCGGCAGGAAGCTGGGGCTCCGTAAACCTCCGCAGATGCTAGTGGGGCACCTGGCGGGGCCTCACGGCCTCCTTCGTGGGGAGCAGAGGATCCGGTCCCCCACTCCCCGTCATTATGCACCCCTGCAAGCCTTAGCCTATCCTATCTGAAGGCCTCGTTGAAAGCGCGCGCCCGCGCTGCTGTGCGATCCTTTGGCACTCTGCAGGTGCAGACTCTAAGACACCCTAGCCTGGGTCTCCAAGGCCCAGCCTTTCAGCTGGCTCCCATGTCTCCCCGGAAGGTTCAGTAAGACGCCCGAGAAGGTGCATCTTGTCAGCTGTCAGCTCTGGTGCTCTTACTCCCAGCCCCAGGTCTTCCTCTTTCTGCAACCCCAAGCGGATGTGGCTGGCGGGGGTTGATGTGGCTTTGAACTGCTGGGGGCAAAGACCTGCCTTTCTGGAGGGGCAAGTGGAGGTCTGGAGGTGCTCCCAGAGGAGTCTTTTCCCCAGCTAGTGGTCTGGAGTGGTACCTGCCCATCTCTGGGCATGGAGAGAGCCCATGCACCCTTGCAGTTTACTGTGAGAGGTATGGCTTCCTCACCTCTCTCAGAGGTATGGCTTCCTCACCTCCCTCAAGGGAGCATGGGGTTCTCCTTCCTGCCAAAAAGTCTTGCCAGTGCCAGTAGACTGCATCCAGATGTTGCCTACACATTGCTAGGAGCCTCTGGGGGTGGACATATAGTGGTTCCCTGCAGGACCTGTTACTCCTGGCTTAGATACACACCACCTATGAGAGGATGAGAGGAGAGGGAGAGAGAGAGAGAGAGAGAGAGAGAGAGAGAGAGAGAGAGAGAGAGAGAAACACTTGAGGGAACCATGGCCTGGCCTGAGTGTCCCTCTGCTAAGGGAAGGCTGGGAAATTAGGAAGAGCTGTCAGAAAGGGTGCTTTGGGGTTTGTATTGGTTTATGAAAACCACCTCTTATGTAAATATTATCTTTCTGGAGCAGAAATCCTTTTTCAAAAAAATTAGTTGCTATATTTAGTTGAGCTGTGGGAGGAACTAGGAGATAAATATTATTTAATATCCCCCATTAATGACTTGGCATTGAGGGTGTCCTTTGCTGAAGGAAGGCAGGGAAGCAGGGTCTTCCCCTGACGTGAAGGAGTGGAAGGAAACTCTGGGGTCTACAGTCTGTTTGGTGCGACTGTGGTCCCCAGCTTAGGAATTTTGGTCTCATATGAAGTTGGAGACTCAGCCTTTAGTTCTGTCCCAGGTCACACAGACTTTGTCCCTTGAGGGCTCTGGCCTAGTTTGCTGTCTTTTCTGGCTCACGCCTTCGTCGGTCCAGCAGAGGAGATAGCTGGGAGTGAGGACGCCCCAGCCCCCTTCTACCAGGCAGTTTTGTCCTGCGATGGAGTCTCAGGGTGTCTGAGTGTGGTGGTGGGAGAGGATGTTGGCTTGACATGGTACCTAGGGCATGGTAGGAAAGGTTGGCGGGGGTGTTTCAGATGTCTGTTTTGATGGTGTTAATAAAAGCTCCTACTTCATTGAGCAACTGCTTCATGCCAGGCCCCGTGCTCAGCACTTTTCCTCAATTAACTCATTTCTACTCCTAAACGATGCTGAACTAAGAACCTGGTCGCCCCGTTTCACTGAGGAGGTGATTGAGACACTAGAAGCTCAAGTGACTTGCCAAGGTCACAGTCAGTGGTGGAGTTGGTCGTGGGGCCTCTCCAGGCCTCAGCTTTTCCTGACTCTATCAGACAGACCCACGTTCTGTCGCCTGGAGCTGGTGCCTCTGCTAGGTGTTGGGGTTGTCTGGGTAGCAGCCATTCCTGCTTCGTTCCTCCTTCCTCCGGGTTCCTCCCATCACTGGCTTGCTCCTCAGGAAGCTGTCCAGGGCTCTGGAAGTTGTCAGGTGAGCAGAGGGGAACCAGCTGCCTCTCCCTGCCTCCTGCTCTCTGCCTGTGAGGGGAAGCTTGGGTGTTATCCAGTCTCTGCTTGGCCTGTGGAGCAGAGCAGATAGGGCTGAGCACCCGAACTCTGTTCTGTCCTAAGCAGGCCACTTGGATACTCTGCCTCGGCTTCTGCATTATGAGGGCACAGTAGGACCCAGGTCAGGGTTGCTTGTGCATGCTCAGTGAGGTCACTTACATAGAGTCATCCTGCCCTGTAACCATGAGGTGGGGCTGGGTGATAGGACAGGCAGGGTTTTCAGGCAAAGGGGACACCCCAGGGACTAGTGTTCCCCCTGCCCTAGTCAGCTATGCACCTGCAAAGTCGTTAGCTAGCACTGGAAACCACAAGGAAGTCATTTGCTTAACTCCTCAAAGTTTGCAAATTCTGCCTGGGGTGGAGACGTGGTGGGGCGCTGGAGAATCTCACCCTCCCTACTCCCCCCTCCCTTCCCTGATAGAAAACCTCAGGGCTGGGTAGAAACCTCACACAGCTACTGAACAGATCAGCCAGGAGGTACGACAGACATGAAAACACCACCAGCCCCGGTAGCCCTGGAACTTGTGGTCTTTCTGCTGCAGCCTCCTGCGGGCTGGGATTATAGGCCTGTGCCTCCATGTTGAACTTGAGCGATGCTTTGTTTTTGTTTTAATTGTGCTCAGGATTGACCCAGGGCCTTCCACAGGCCAAGCTAGCTTTCTAACCACTGAGTTCCACCCCTAATTCTAAATCTATTTTTTAAATAAAAAGTTATACAATGTATCTTCAAAGAGTACAGAAAGTATACAGTAAAGTCTCCCCACTCCATCCCCAGTCTCCTTCCTGGATACACACTGGGTGTGTGTGGAGGCCTAGGGCCCAGGGCTGTCTTTACAGGAGAAATAGCCTGAATGTCGCGGTCCTCTTGGCTAGAGCTCTTGGTTACATCTCCTGAGCAGCCTCCTGGCCTCACAGGGTTTCATCATGACAGGCTGCAGTTTCCTCACCCCACTTCCCGTGGTTGCGTGGTTCGTGGCCCTCAGCATACCACACAGCCTTACTAGGAGCCCCCCATCCCCACATTACATCACCACCGTCAGTGGCATTTCAGAACAAGCTCCTAGTGGAACTGGTGAGCAAAACAGGAGTGTTTGCACGTGTAGGGGCTGTGCTTGAGCCCTTTTCCTTGGGGCTGAAGCAGCCAACCTGCCCACTTCCACTGCCGAGCCAGTGGTGTCAGAGCCCACATCTGACCAGGGCTCATCTGATGGGAAGGTTCCTCTTATAGCTTTCCTTGCATTTTTTTCTGTTTTCAAGTTAGGTTCGGCACCTTTGGTTACTCAGAAACCGTCTGACTTCTGTAGATCCCTAAACAGCATAGACCAAGTCCAGAGGCTAGACTGTGTTAGGCTCATCTGGACACAAACATCCATCCTGGAGAACCGTGGAAAGCCAAGGATGCTGGGTCAGGCAAAATCCCAGGAGAACTCAACAGTGCCTGGGCTGTGACCTTGTTTCCTGCCTTCAGCCCAGGCCCCAGTTGGTACTAAACAGGGAAACCCCATATGCATGAGCCCCAGAAACCACGAGGACAGGGCAGGTATGGCCTCTGGCACACTTGCCCCTTTTGGCTTCCCGTGTCTTCAGCATGGTAGGAACAGGACCCCCATCCCATTTCCTACTTGCCCCTCGGGATCTGAAACTGCCTCAGCTGGGTGCTGGGTTACCTGCTGCCGTTAGGAGCTTTGCCTCGGTTGTCACATTTCCTGGTCCTTACTGAGGTCTGCCCAGCAACAGTGTCAGTCCTGCCCCAACTGGATCTCAGTGTACCCTGGGGCAAGACACACAGGTGTTGACAAGCCTTTCCCCATCCCGGGTGCCCCTCATGTGTGACATCCTGGTGTGTCCCTCTGCAGCATGGAAGCCACTTCTCCCTGGTCCCCTGAGTGGTCCCCCTCGGAGCCCTGCCAGGCTAGCCACTCTAGGTGGACCCTGGAGACAGGGCAGAGCCAGGTGGGCTGGGCGGGCCCTGCCTAGCCAGAGCCTCTCCCTGGACTCTCCAAGTGACAATTTAATTGCTCTGTAAATTTGCCTTGGATGAAGACCTTGGTGAGTGCCCGCCTCTCCCAGCTGGAGCTGACATTTAGAAGCCGAAATTCCAGTTTTCAATGTTGAGAGAAGGAAGGAGTCAGAGGGGGAAATTAGAGGAGCAGGTGGTGCATGGAGCCCAAGGTGGGGGTGGGGCAGTCCAGCGGTGTGCTTGGCTCTGTACCCTCCACTCCGTAGCTCCAGGGTATGGGCAACTGCATAAACAGTGACCCTGGGGGTGGGGGGCTGAGGCACAGTGTGACTCAGGGATGGCTGCCCTGCCTTGGTGCTCCCGTCTGGTGGGGTGAGGCCCGGGACTAATTGCTGGTCAAAGCGTGGTGAAGTGACGAGATTGGGATGAGCGCCCCCCCTGGCTTCTTGGAGTCTTGATGAGAAGGGTCTATGGGGAACACAGAAGGTGGCGACCTTCATGCTTGACTGTAGAGATGCCTGCACATAAGATAGGGGGTAACTCTGGAAGGGCAGGGACCTTCATGCTTGACTGTAGAGATGCCTGCCCATAAGATAGGGGGTAACTCTGGAAGGGCAGGCTGGGAAGATCAGGGAAAGGCTTTGCCGCTCTTGGGCAGAGGTAGGGCTCCACACTGGCGCTGTTCCAGGTGCTGGAGATGCTGCATTGACCAAGTCCTGTTGTGGACCTAATGGTCCATCTCTGTCATGGTGCTGATGCCTGGAGACTGTGCTGTCCCTGTCAGGAGCTTTCTGCCAATCACTAGGCCTTCAGTCAGCATCAAGGGGCATCCCTATCACCACAGCAGATAGGGAAACAGACACGGCCCCTGGGCCCCCCCATTGGCCCTGGCATAGCAAGAATTAGAGCAGGATGTAAACTCAGGCCCTCAGGACCAGATTTATGTTCTGAGTCTCTGAGACTCAGGGGGTGCCATGCCTGGGCCAGGCCAGTGAGGATAGGATCCTACCAGGTTACTGCCTTTGCCCTGTGTAGCTGTCAACACTGTAGTGGACAGGAGCCAGGCATTTAGCAAGTGGGACGTCTGTATCAAGGTAGGCCTGGCACCAACCCAGTCCTTAGAATCATCTGGGGACAGGTAGGACAGTCCGTGTCTTATCTTTCCCCTCACTAGGGGCTCTTCCAGACCTGGCTTTCCTCTGTGACCCTGTGAGTTGCTCAGGTGAAAGAGAATCAGTTCCTTCAGGATTTTAGTGGAATCAGCATTTAAAGCAGACCAGACTTGAATGGCTAGGATGTAGTGGTCCCCAAAGCCCCACCTGTGAGCACAGCAGATCCTCTGGGACTGGTAATTTGGGCAGGTGGATCTGGGCTCACTACAAAGGAATGGGCATACAGGTAAATATGTAGGACCCCAAGATCTTTCAGGTGACCTTGACTGGGAAGTTAAGGGGCCAGGGGAAGGAAGGCAGAGCTATCTAGGGATTAGCACAGGAGGCCCAGAGCAGAGGTCGAGGGTCAGAGGTTCTGGGTGCAGACCCTGATTCTTCCCGGTTGTGTGGTCATGATGTTGTAACTCAGCATATCTGGCTCAGGTGCTGTAAAATGGGAATACTGATTGTGTCTCCTCAAGCGAGCGAGAATCCCAGAGAACAGCATGTACACAGGGGTAGCAAAGCAGCTAGTGTATGCACGGGTTAGCAGCGCTATAGTGCTATAGTGGAGGGTCTCTATCCCTGCCCTTGCAGTCCGTGGTGGCAGACAGCTAGATGCCGCATGTGGCTGCTTATGCTTAAGTGAATGAGGTCAGTAGAATTAGAAATGTCATCCTCAGGCACATGAGCCACTTTCCCAGGGTTCAGTGTCCACATCTCGCTAGTGACTGCTATACCAGATGGGACAGGAACTCCGTCCATCATCACAGAGCAGTCTGTGGGACAGTGACCTTCCAGGGAGCCTTGCACCAAAAAACTAGTCTGCCAACTGGGAGCTAACACACATCCTTTATTTGGAAACTCTCATGGGCTGAGAAATGCACCGTTACAGTGTGGCCTCAAGCTGGGAGAAGCAGCAGTATCTGGGGAAATGTGGTGGCATTTAAGGAGTGGGTTACTGTGGGTCAGGGAGCCGGAGGGGGAGATCCAGGTAGACGAGTAGAAGAGGGGAACTAGAAAGATACACCTAGGGCAGGCAAGGCTGCAGCCTGTAGGCTAGAACTGGTATGTGTGCCTGTGACACGTATGCTAGCCCAGGCCTAATCCTGTTTCACCAGGGGCCATGGAGCCTGGGGTGCGGGTGGGGATGCTTGCCTCAGAGCCAAGAGCAGAGAAACAGCTGAGGGAGTCAGGTGAGGCTGACAGCCCTTCTCTTGGCCATGAGCAAGGTGAGAGACTCCTGGGTAGAGCACTTATATGGGCTGTGGGCTGGGCACCTCTTTGTTTGAGGCAGAGGCATAGCTAATATGACCTCTAAGGGACTCTGCTCCATTGGAGAACTGGCCCAGAAACGGGGCCCGGACCTCCCCCCACCTTTCCTGTTCGCTTCAGTTAAATAGATCAGAAGGGAAAGTCTGTTTGATTTTAATCTCAATGCAGGACACTGGAGATTACATTTTCCGTGGAAAATGTCAGCCATTGCCTAAAATAGGACTTTAGAGAAAATGCTAGAAATGTATTTTTAGGTTTATGTTTCCCTCTTGGAGCCCTGAGGGCCAGCGACTGCTCGCTGCTGTCCATGGTGCAGCTGACAGGTGCAGACCCTAAACCTTCCCAGCACATGGTCTGGGGAAAGAGTTCCCATAGGAAAAAATATCTGTGGACTAAGAACAGGTGGACAGATGTGAGGAACTGGGCCGTGGTCAGGGATGTAAGCAGAGGGGGAGAGGTTCCAAATCTGTACTGCGAATGGGTTCTGGGTGTGAGGCTGCTGGCTTTTGAGCTACCTTTGAGGATAGAAGGAGGCGGAGTTCAGAAAGACCGACCACGTGGGGCCTTCATTCATCTTCTGCAGGGGAAGGGCTGTGCCAAAGAGGGGAGGGGGAGCCTACCAGAGCCCCAGCTCTGGGGTTTAGCTCCTCACAGACACTGATCAGTTGTGGAACTTTGTGGCAGCTGCTTCTTCACTGATCTGCAGTCCTTACGGATGTGGAACTGGCTGGGCATGTCACATGCTTCTCTCAGAGGCTGCTGGGAAACTTAAAGATCCCGGCTACCCAGGGCAGCCAGCCAGTAATTTTACACCTGGTGTGAAATTAATTCAAGAATTGAAGGTGGTAAAGAAGTTTGGCAGGAGGGCTGGAAAGATGGTTCGGCAGGTAAAAACACTGTCTGCTCTTGCAGAGGAGCCGGGTTCAGTTCCCAGCACACAACTGTCTGTAACTCTAGTTCCAAGGGATCTGATGCCCTCTTCTGGCCTCCCTGGGCACCAGGTATGGACATGGTACACATTACATAAGTGTAGGCAAAACATTCTTACACATAAAAAAATGAAAATAAAATAAAAATGAAAGAAGTTTGGCCGGTAAACTGAGGCAGGTGCTACTGATGTATAGAGAAAGTGTTCTTCACAGTGTTGTATGGGACTGGTCATATGAGGGCCATCTTTCTTGTATGTATCTGGAGTGAGGTTCCAAGAGGGACCCCAAGAAGAACCTGAACATATGCTTAATGTCTAGAAATGCTTGGGGTATCCCAGGAGGCTGGTGGGGTGGGACTCCCAGCTGGCCTTTTCCTGGGGAGGCTCTGGTCAGGGCTGGCAGCGGCCTCAATTTCACTTCTGTGAAAGGGAGCGGGTATGGAAGCTTCCCTTCCCCTCCGGTCTCATTAAGGTGAACCAGGTCACACTAGATTCCTTAACAGCATGGGGTGGGGTAAAGAGTAGCTGTTGAGCTTGGAGATTGAGTCTGTGACCTCAGAGCTGGGAAGTCACCTGGGACTCTGTGGTGGACCCAGTGCACACTATGGGGGGGGGGGGCTTCCAGACTCCAGAAGGATCTACTAGTAACCAGTTTTCTCCTGTCTCTTCCTGTTCCCGTGGCTGCCTACATCCCACAGAGCTCCCTACTGAGGAAGGTGAGCCATCCTGGGTTGGGGGAGGCTGTAGGCTGCAATATCTCCCTTCCCCCGTGCCAGACACCTTCAGGCTGCAATACCCCATCCCAGACAGATACCTGGTTGAATGCTCAGATGAACCCATTGGGACTTCGGGCTTTCCCTCTGATCAATAGGGAGAGGGTCCCTAAAAGTCCCTAGTTATGAGTGGAGGGGGTAACGGTGGTGGGGTGGACGGGGGCGGGGGTGACCAGGGACCTGGGCCTCACATACTCTCCTGTTCCAGGAAAGTCCCTGTGGGAACTGGTGCTGGAGCAGTTTGAGGACCTCTTGGTGCGCATCCTGCTGCTGGCAGCCTTGGTCTCCTTTGTAAGTAAGCCCTCCCCGCCACCCTGTGAGTTAGGTCTTGCCAGTGCTCAGAGTCCTTGGCTGCTCTCCTCCCATCAGGGACATTCCTCAGTCTTCAGCTGTCCCACACTGAACCACCTGAATTCCTCTAACCCATTTATGCCCTGGTTCAGGGGGCTTTCCTAACCCCTAACCTGCCTGGCCTGTCCCTGCCCTAGCCGGGATCAGCACTCTTGACGTGTGAACCAGATTGTTCTGGATGGGGTGGGGTCTGATGTGTTGAACATCCTTGGCTTCCCTGTCAGGTGCCAGCAGCATCTCCCAGTGACAATCGAATGTGTCTTCAGACATTGCTAGGTGTCTGTTTAGGGGCCAAATTCCCTTCATTTGAAGCCATTGATCCCTCCTTTGGGGCCTCAAACAGACTAGCTTCTTTCTTGCCTTCGCTTTCTTTGTACCTTCCTCCTTCTTGTTGTCTGGACCACTTCTGGACCACAGGTCCTGGGCCCAGGGCAGGAAGTGGGAGGGAGGCAATGACTGTCTTCCATGTCTGAGGAGCAGATACAAAGCTAATACAAGGAAGGCAGGTATGATTTCTGTTCCTGGGGAGGAGACTTATCTTGGTGACTCAGCATGTAGAAAGCCCCATGGTACTGGCTGGGACTGGCTTTTCCTGTCCAGTGGTGGTTGGCTCTCCTGGTCACTGTCCTTGTGAAAACTTGAAGTCTTACAAAAGAAAAGAAAAACAAACAAACGAAAAGACAAATACGCAGATGTCTAAAATGGCAAAGCCGAAGGGATACCTTGACCCTTCAAGTAACGGATGGGAGCACTGAGGACTTAGGAGGGAGCTGACGAGTCCCCAGTTGGGACAAGAGGTAGACAAAGGACTTGACCTGAGTCCCATTAAGGCTTAGTTAGACTCTGCAGTGGAAATGTGTCCCTGATTGGCGGACCCTCAACATGGGCACTCACCATAAAGAGGAAGGCTTGATAGCCGTTTCTGCTCAGGATGTCTGGGCTGGCCGGAGAACTTCTGTTCCTCCTGGAGGACCACAGTGCAAAGCAGGGAAGGCAGAGAGAGGTCTCCAGCTGCCTCTGTCCCCTTGGAGGCTGGTTTAGGTGCGATGAGAGCTATGGCCACACATCTGTAAGGTGGGCATCCTTCCTCCACCGAGGCCCTCTCTGTAAGCCCAGGATTCCCCAGGGGAGCAGACAGTATTCAGAGTATAAAAGGCAAAGAGCTCATCTCGGGGGTCCCAGCACAGCCAGGCTGATCAGTTCTGTCCCTGCAGGTCCTGGCTTGGTTCGAGGAGGGTGAAGAGACCACGACGGCCTTTGTGGAGCCCCTAGTCATCATGCTGATTCTCGTGGCCAATGCGATCGTGGGCGTGTGGCAGGTGGGAGGTGTTGGAAGTGGGCTGGTCCCCGGGGTCTCCCACCCGCTAGGTGTGCTTTCTGCTGTCAGGTCCCTCCTAGGCCCAAAGGTTTTACTCTCGAGGGGAGGCCTCCTGGGGCAGCAGAGGGAGACCCCCTGCCCACTTATGCTCTGCAGGAACGCAATGCAGAGAGTGCCATTGAGGCCTTGAAGGAGTATGAGCCTGAGATGGGGAAGGTGATCCGCTCTGACCGCAAGGGTGTGCAGAGGATCCGAGCCCGGGACATCGTCCCTGGGGACATCGTGGAAGTGGCAGGTGGGTATGTCCAGGTCCTTCTCCTGTCACTATGTGACAGCAGGGAGCCTTGTTTCTTTCTTTGCTTCTGTCTTGCACTATGGAGGAGTGACTGTTAGAACCTCCCCAAACCCTGTTGGACAGACATATTGAGAGATGGTGGCCAGAGTGGCTGGAATCTGCCTGAAGGATAATGGTTCAGGACCCTGCCTCTGGTCTTAGCTTTGCCTCTGGGAGTCTTTCTGGCTTTGCTGGGGTGAGGGCCCCAGACCCACTCTCACCCAGGCCAATCTCCCTGTGTAGTGGGAGACAAGGTGCCTGCTGACCTCCGCCTCATTGAGATCAAGTCCACCACACTTCGCGTGGACCAGTCCATCCTGACAGGTGAGGCCCAAGGGCTTGGAGAGAGTGGGGGTGGGTCTAGGTGATGGGCGTGTCTCCAGGTGAGGCTTCTCACGTCTCATCCCGTAACCAGGGGAATCCGTGTCTGTGACCAAGCACACAGATGTCATCCCAGACTCCAGAGCCGTGAACCAGGACAAGAAGAACATGCTGTTTTCTGTAAGTTCTTGGGATACTCGGGGCTCAGCCTGGATATGAATACTAGTCCCATAGGAGCAGAGGTGGGATGGTTCTGCTGATAAAGGTACTTCCCACCAAGTCTGACGACCTGAGTTTGAGCCCTAGTGCTCACAGGCTGATAGGATAGAACTAATTCCCATAGGGCGTCCTCCAACCTCCGCATTCACATGGTGGCACACGCATGCTCACCACCACCACCGCCATCACAACCTCCACCACCACCACCTCCACCACCACCACCTCCACCACCATCACCATCACCTCCACCACCACAAAAATGTAAAAAATATTTTTTTGTCTGTCTTTTTGTTTTGTTTTGTTTTTTTGAGACAGGATTTCTCTTTGTAACAGTTCTGGCTGTCCTGGAATTCGCTCTGTAGACTGGGTTGGCCTCAAACTTATAAGATCCATCTGCCTCTGCCTCCCAAGTGCTGGGATTAAAGGTGTGCGCCACCACTGCCTGACTGTCTGCTATTTAAAAAAAAAATATTTTTTATGTATACAATATTCTGTCTGCGTGTATGTCTGCAGGCCAGAAGAGGGCACCAGGCCACCATGTGGTTGCCGGGAATTGAACTCAGGACCTTTGGAAGAGCAGGCAAACCACTGAGCCATCTCTCCAGCCCCTGTCTGCCATTTTTTAAAATTTATTTTTATTTAGTTTCTTGAAACAGGATCTTGCTATGTAGCTCTGGTTCGCCTGGAATTTCCTGTGTAGACTAACTCCAGAGAGTCACCTGCTTCTGCCTCCTGAGTGCTGGGATTAAAGGCATGGGCTACAACTCCTGGAACTTTTTTTTCTTTTTCAGTCTTTTAGGGTGGATCTCTTGGTTACCAATAATACATGCAAATTTTTAGTAATCATAATAGTTTGTGTTTACTGAGGCCTGTTTGCTTAGCATTGGCCTAAGCCCTTTAAAATTTTTTTATCCCACACAAAAAGCCATTGAAGTAAGGCTGTCTATGTCTTACTATCCATGTTAGGAAACAGGCTAGGAGAGGTTAAGTCAATTGCCCAAGGTCACAGTGAAGGAGCGGCAGAGTTGAGGTGTGAGTTCAGACGGCTGAGGATTTCTCTTTCCTGCTAGGATGCTGTGCTTCCAGCTAGAGACAGGGCTTGCCTTAAGTCACTCAATGGAAGGAAAGGGTGACAAGTGCTGAGGTGAGCAGCAACTGAGCTAGACCATGCCCCAGCAACCCAGTCAGAGGTGGCTGAAGAGTGGAAATGCACAGGAGTGGAGAAGACCATGGGTCTCGGAGCTCCTGCAGAGGACCCTGCCTGAGTGCAGGGGCAGATAAGCTGTTTTGGATGAGGAGGGAGACATGGGGGGAGGATGGCTTGCTGTGGTCTCTGCCTTAGTTTACGTAGGGGTGCTGCTAGTGGGGCAAAGCCACATTGCTCTGCGTGACGGAGAGGCGGAGTTGCCACCAGCTCCTGTGTTCTTGCCATCTCCCCTCTACATCCATCTGAAGGGGCACCAGACAGTCAGCCTCTAAAGTGACTGCATCTTGGACCTCTGTGGGGGCCTGTTGCAGAACAGGACACTGGGGTACCAGGCCACCTGTCCTCTACATTGGAGTTGGGTCTTTTGCCCAGGGCCTTGGGAATGGGAGTGTCAAGTCTAAGGTTTGTGGATTCTTCGGTAAATATTTACAAACTACTTGCCTGGGGTCATTGTCAGCCACGCTCCTTCCTGTGTGGCCACAGTGGCTGTTTATGAGTCCTGTTTTGATGGGGTTTATGGATTGGCCTTGAAACATGCAGCTGACATCAGTCCTGAAGCCTCTTCTGGTGCCAGACACTACAATAGGCACAGGACATGTAGCCATCCTCCAAATCCATGCCTTCATAGAACAGCAATACAATAAATACCAAACTATGTAAGTCTGGAAACACTGGCCACACAGAAGAGCCTATTCTGGCTTGGACTCAGGGATTCCCGCCGCTGGCCGGAGGCTGAGCAGCACTTCCTTGTCCTTCTCTGACCAGGGCACCAATATTGCATCAGGCAAAGCCCTGGGTGTGGCTGTGGCCACAGGCCTGAACACAGAGCTGGGCAAGATTCGGAGCCAGATGGCAGCTGTGGAGCCTGAGAGGACACCGCTGCAGCGCAAGCTGGACGAATTTGGGAGGCAGCTGTCGCATGCCATCTCTGTGATCTGCGTGGCTGTGTGGGTCATCAACATCGGCCACTTTGCTGACCCAGCCCATGGTGGATCCTGGCTCCGTGGCGCAGTCTACTACTTCAAGATTGCCGTGGCCCTGGCTGTGGCCGCTATCCCCGAGGGCCTCCCAGCAGTCATCACTACATGCCTGGCACTGGGCACAAGGCGTATGGCACGTAAGAATGCCATCGTGCGCAGTCTGCCCTCTGTGGAGACCCTGGGCTGCACCTCAGTCATCTGCTCTGACAAGACAGGGACACTCACCACTAATCAGATGTCTGTCTGCAGGGTGAGTGGTAGCTGGGTTGGGCCCCTCTGGTGTCAGGTGGCTGGGCAGCAGGGTTGGCTTCCTGACCTCCTTTTTGGTAAGGGATGGAGAGCCTGTGCGCTGTCTCCCAGTGTGCGGTGGGGAGCAGCAGACTGAGGGCTGCTTCAGTGCTTGTAGAGACACATCACTGGGGCCCAGTGTCACTGCAGTTCCCTGGGCAGGTCATTGCCAGTCTGTGGACCTTAGTGTCCTCATCTGAAATCTAGGCATGAGCCCTGCCAGGTAACTGCCTTGAGGGATCCAAGAGAGGGTCAAGTGCAGGCGCCATGTCATTGGACCCAGTTCTGTCCTGCTCTTTCTTGGCTGTTCACCTGACGCCTGTCACCAGATATGCTGGCTCCAGTGACCCGGGAAGGACTAGGGCAGCAATTATTCATCCCGGGGCACCTGATCCCACATCCTGGGTCCACTGTCCACATGTTCCAGGGATTCTGGCTGGGATTACAAGGGACAGAGACCCCTTCTGGCTCAGCAGAGAAGTCGCTGGGGAAATGGCGACAGCTGTGGGTTTCACACCTTCTCAGGCACCTGCCGTGCCCCTTCTGCCTCTGCTCCCACAGTGGTCTGCCTTGTAGGCCCTAGGAGCTGGCTTAGGACTCGCGAGGCCCTTACAGCCCCGTGGAAGCACATCGAAGCCTGGTGCAGGCAACAGGCCTGGGCAAGCTCTGCATCCTGCATCTTCTGACTTGGTGGAATCCCTAGCGGGATTTTATCTGTCCATTGTTCCTTGACTAAACTAAGGATTCGAGAAGCATGGTTTGGGGAAGTGGCAGTAGCTGAGCACGCTGGGTAATGGACTTTGCTTGTGGGAAGCCCCAGAGCAGAGAGGACAAGAAGGAAGGGGTATTCGGAGTACCTTTGGGATGCTAGGTTGGCCCCTGGCTTGAGAATGAACTGTAAGAAGTCTCTCTCAGCTGGCTGATGGGCTAGGAAAGTTCAGGTAAGGGCTGGATGACCCAGCAGGCCCCAAGAGGCTCATTCTCTAGGGTCACCTGTGGGTTGAAGGAAACTGCCTCAGAGCAAGATATGAGTTTCTTCCTTGAAGTTAGAGAATTCGTCCCTTGCAGTTGGACCTTGGGCCCACTTTCTCCCTATGTTACCAGCAGAGAAACTGAGGTTTAGATGCTTGAAAGAAGTCCAGGGCCCAGATGTCCTGCCCTGTCTTGTTCACAGCCATCTCAGGCACTGAAAAATTGGCCACAAAACCCTCAGGAATCCCAAGCAATGGCCAGTGAGAGCCAGATGCCTCTGGGCAGAGTCTTAGGGTGCCTAGCCTGGGCTCACGGGTGTCTTTGCTCTGGTGGGGAGGAAGGCCTTTCGATGACTCTTGTGAAGGGCGTCTCAAACATCCTCCTGCGGCTGACTTTTTAAGCTGATGGCAGAGAGGAAGGAAGCCCTCCAAGCGTCCTGAGCCCACCCTTGTGCTTACAGATGTTCGTGGTAGCTGAAGCAGAGGCAGGCTCCTGTCGTTTGCATGAATTCACCATCTCGGGTACCACATATACCCCAGAGGGCGAAGTGTGAGTGTGCAAGCGACGGTGTGGTGGGGTCAAGTGGGTGGAGCTCCTTGGGACCCGAGAGGGGTCCATGGGATTGGTTTCCTGGGGAAGGGGTCAATGCAGGACACCTCTCAGGGGCGCGGCCAGGCCCTGTGCTGACCCCTTTCTCTCTGCAGGCGACAAGGGGAGCAGCCTGTGCGCTGTGGGCAGTTTGATGGACTTGTGGAGCTAGCGACCATCTGTGCCCTTTGCAATGATTCAGCACTGGACTACAATGAGGTTGGACCCCACTCCTGTCCATGACCCCACTAGGTTCCGTTTCTCGGGACAGACCCTTTTCCTTTGCCCAGAGTCTCACTGTTTGGTGTTCCTCATTGCTTCAGAGGGTCACACTCCACGAGCATGGTCACATGATGCCATTTGTGTGGCTGGAGCAGAGGAACTGAACATACAGAAGGATACTCCAGCCTTCCAGGAACCCTTAGCCAGGCCAAGTCAGCTCCCATGCCAAGCCAAGGGCAATCAAGGAGCCACTGAAGGGTTCTGAGCAGGGAATTGGGGTGTGGCCACATTGCCTCTCCAAAAGATGCTGTCTGTGCTCACCAGCACAGACAGATAATAACACAGGAGCCAGGGAGATCTGCGTGGTGAAGAAGCAGGCTTGAGGCTCAGCAAGAAGAGCCCGGAAGCCCTGTGTGCTGAAGTACTCATAAAATTCCAGCGCTTAGGAGGCTGAGGCAGGAGGGTCAGTTGTGAACTGAGGCCCTCCTGAGCTCAGGGCAAGACCCTATCTCAAAATGAATAAGTAAAAACAGCAGAAGGCCTTCACTCCCTGTGTGCTCTGACCCTCCAGGCCAAAGGCGTGTACGAGAAGGTAGGGGAGGCCACAGAGACAGCCCTGACTTGCCTCGTGGAGAAGATGAATGTGTTTGACACGGACCTGACAGGACTGTCTCCGGTGGAGCGTGCTGGAGCCTGCAACTCGGTGAGTAGGACGGGGCTTGGCCTTGGCCGCAGAGCCGGGAGTTCTAGAGCATTCTGTGGATGGACAACAGCATAGGCACCGGGTGGGGGGTGGGGGCTTTGAGGAATCATGGAGGACCTCAGAAACCTTCCAAAACAAGTCTGTGGAGCAGAGGGAAGGGAAAGGCCAAATGTAGGCCCAGGCTTCCAGTTGGGAAACTAACACATTTTGGGAGAAGAAGGTGGGAACCTTGAATGCCGGAGTCAGAGGAGTACAGATAGTAGAGGCCACAGGAACAAGAATCTTCTCCCGAGTGGCTAGTGAGAAGCAGGCAAGAGTTGCCAACTCTGTCCTTCATGCCCTGACCTGCCTGGACCCTGCAGGTCTTCAAGCAACTCATGCGGAAGGAGTTCACCCTCGAGTTCTCCCGGGACCGGAAGTCCATGTCTGTGTACTGCACACCTACCCGTCCTGACTCCAAGGCCCAGGGCAGCAAAATGTTTGTGAAGGTGGGGGCCTGCCTGTGTGGCCTGGGGTTACTTCTGGGATCTGGGGAGGGAGAGCAAGGGGTTGGGGGCAGAGAATCTGGTCTCCAGTCTCTAAAACACCAGAGGGAGTATAGTTCAGGTAGTAGAGTGTTTGGCTAGTGTGCAAGAGGCCGTAAGTTTGTTCTCTAGAATGACATAAGCTAGGTATGGTTGCATATGCGTATAATCTCAGCACTTGAGAAGTAGAGATAGGAGGGTCTGCTGCATAAGTGAGTTTGAGTTCATGAGTCTGGACTATGTGAGACCCTATCTAAAAACAGAAAGAAAAACAAGGAAAGAGGGAGGGGGAGGAAGATGGGGAGGGAGGGAGGAACGGAGGGAAGGAGGGAGAGAAAGAGAAAGAGAGAGAGAGAGAGATAGAAAGAAAGAAAGAAAGAAAGAAAGAAAGAAAGAAAGAAAGAAAGGGAAGAGAAAAAACCAGATGAACAAAACCACAAATAAAAGTCCCACAGACTGCAGCTGTGGGAGGGGGGGGGGCCCAGGGAACTGTGAGACCCATAGTCAAAGTGATGGCTCTGAGGTGGGGTTGGTCAACATGCAATAGGGAACTGAGAGCAGCATCCAGTGACTAAGGGACAAGGGCCCCTAGTTCTGGCCTGGGGGTTACTGTCTTGCCTCAGGACTCCGGGGTCATCAGTGCTCCTCCATGGCCTCAGGCACCCATAGGAATGACAGAGATGGGCTTAGAAGCTCTTTTGCCTCTGATCACTGGGACGATTTGGTGGATGCTCCTATTTTTTTGGAAGCTGAAGCCTGAGAAAGGAAAGGAGCAGCTCCCATCCCAGTTCTACAGGTTGCTTTCAAACCAACAGAAGGATCCCATTCCTGGCTTCATCCTACAGTGCAGGTCCTAGTGCCTGTGAAATGACAGGGCTTCCATCCTGGGAACCCTGGCCACTTAGAGAAGGTAGCCCCTGGGTTTTAGGCTAAGGGAGAGGAAGATGCCACTGATGGGCTAGCCAGAAACCAGTCCTAGGCCCAGGGGAGACCCTGATGAATCTGAGGAGTCAGTTACCCTTCGCCCCCCACCAAAGCCACACTGCCAGGGTCACCCTTGCCATACTCTGTGCCTGTCTTTCTACGCCCTGGTGGGACTCGGTGTGCCTATTTGCTGCTATGGATCCCTCATAAAATGGGAATTCCAGTGATACCCGGCAGGCTGGTAGGGGCACAGGTTCCCATGGGAGATGCAGACCCTAACCAGACCTTCAAATATTGCAGCAAGCTTTCTCAGTTGTGGCCTGGTACAGGCAGAGGCCACCCAGTGGGTGTCTGTGATCTCACCTGCCCATCCCTTTAAGTTTTCTCATAGTGAAGCCCAACAGGTTCCCCCTCTTACAGAGAATGGTTCTCTCCCTCTGTATGGGCCCTTGGTTGGCCTTTCTCCATAGTGGCTTGCAGTTTTCTCTGCTGAGCAGCAAGGAGGGCCAGGGTCCTGGCTGATAGAGTTGACTCTTCTTCCCTTCCCTCTGCAGGGAGCTCCTGAGAGTGTAATTGAGCGCTGTACCTCAGTCCGAGTGGGGAGCCGAACAGCACCCCTGAACGCCACCTCCAGAGAACATATTCTGGCCAAGATCCGGGATTGGGGCTCAGGCTCTGACACATTGCGCTGCTTAGCCTTGGCTACCAGGGACACGCCCCCGAGGAAGGAGAACATGCAGTTGGATGACTGCAGCCAGTTTGTACAGTACGAGGTGGGTGCTGAGAGCCAGGTTCTTCTTGTGGTGGCTGGGCACCAACCAGGTCAAGGATAGACTCAGGCTGTGCTTGCCTCTGCCTCCTCCCCACAGACAGACCTGACCTTCGTCGGCTGCGTGGGTATGTTAGACCCACCGAGACCAGAGGTGGCTCCCTGTATCACACGCTGCTCCCGGGCCGGCATTCGAGTCGTCATGATCACAGGAGATAACAAGGGCACAGCTGTGGCCATCTGCCGCCGACTTGGCATCTTTGGGGACACAGAGGATGTGTTGGGCAAGGCCTACACGGGCCGCGAATTTGATGACCTCAGCCCAGAAGAGCAGCGCCAGGCTTGCCGCACCGCCCGCTGCTTTGCCAGGGTGGAGCCTGCACATAAGTCCCGCATCGTGGAGAACCTGCAGTCCTTTAATGAAATCACTGCCATGGTGAGGCTATGGGGTGGGGGGCAGGGGTTCGGGCATGGGAACTTCTCAGATTGGTTACAGCTGTCCCCTAGCTCTTACCCTCACCTTTGGCTTTTCCGCTGACCTTGATCTCCAACTTGTTTGGTTAATCACGTGCTTTACCACCGAGGTTTACCTTAGCCCCTTGTTTACATTAAGCTTAATCCTGACATGGATTTAAGACTTGACCTGGTACACAACTGATCAAAGACATTGATTCCTTGACACTGTTCAATGTTCAACTTTTTGCTGATTTCAATTTTAACCTGGTCTCTCATTCTGACCTCGCAACTCCAAACTTGACTACGATGTCACTGATCATGAGAACAAATAACCTTGACTCTGACCTCTAGACAGCCTGAGTCCTGTCTAGATTCTGTCCTTCACCTTGACTCTAGTGTGTATCTGACCCTTGACCTGGTCCACAACCATGACTTCATCTCTGAATTGATTTCAGCTCCTTCCCCCTAATCTCAGTTTGATGGTCTACTCTGTATCCAACTTGAATTTCATGCCTGTCCTCTGTGCTGGTTCACCTCATCCCTATCCCTGCCTCCTTATCTTCTCTGGACTTAGGCTTGGTCTCGTCCAATTTCACCCTAGCCCGCATCTCATGTCTTCTCTAACCTCATCTTCTAACCAATTGGTAAGATCATGCTTAGTTTTCCCTTCCTTCCTTGCTTTCTTACACACACATGCTCATACACACACACGTGCACACGCACACACGCATGCAAGTGCACACGCTCAAATGAAGATGGGGGCTGCTACAGGGTATAGAAACCAGAGCCCTCACTTTCTCTCTGAGTCACATCCCCTGCCCCTTGTGATCTCCCTACTTCTGTCTTATGAGTGACTCGGACTACAGGCTGGTTCTTTTTGTTTGTTTGTTTGTTTGTTTGTTTTGTTTTTTGAGACAGGGGTTCTCTGTAGCTTTGCTGTCTGTCCTGGAAATAGCTCTTGTAGACCAGGCAGGCCTCGAACTCCCAGAGATCCTCCTGCCTCTGCCTCCCGAGTGCTGGGATTAAAGGCGTGCACCACCACCGCCCGGCTACAGGCTGGTTCTTGACTCCACCATTTCTTCTGTCCATCTGTCTGAGTCCTTGGGGACATCCCCTAACAGTAGAATTGCTTGGGATAAGAGGAAATAGACAAGTTTATCATGTGTTTCCTACCTGGCCTGGCCCACAGACTGGCGATGGGGTAAATGATGCACCAGCCCTGAAGAAGGCAGAGATTGGTATCGCCATGGGCTCAGGCACTGCTGTGGCCAAGTCAGCAGCAGAGATGGTACTATCCGATGACAACTTTGCCTCCATTGTGGCCGCAGTGGAGGAGGGCCGGGCCATCTACAACAACATGAAGCAATTCATCCGCTACCTCATCTCCTCTAATGTTGGCGAGGTTGTCTGGTGAGGCTCCATGCTCCCTCCTCCCAAACCCCTGTACTAAACAACTTTATGTCCCTGAGAAGGCTACCCCCCAACTGTGGTACACCCCAGCATCCTCTACCATCCCTCCAGCCATGGGCTTCCTTCTTCAACACTTCTCAACCTTGAGACCCATAAGAATGGAGAAGCAGCTTCGCCACAGGGCAACAGGGTGTCCACACGTATGCATGCATTGATCTGTGTGTGTATGTATAGTGTGTTCAGGTGAGAGGTCTGTGCTTAGGAATGCACTGTGCTCTTAAGCGTCATTGGGTATAAACACAAACAGAATGTATACCAGAGTGTGCTTATGTTCACATTTCTGTTTGCATGGGAGAGAGGCCTGTTGGATTCTAGGAGCTTGTGTGTACTCAATGCATGTGGATTCCGCACCTTTGTACTTTGGGGCTAGCACATGGGTGATTGCTTGTGTGTCCTTGTTCATGTGATTGTGTGGCAGGTGTTTTCGCACGTCTGATGCTTGGGCATGTGGTATGTGTGCACACACCAAATGTCCTTTGTTAGACACAGAGGGCAAATGTACCCAGTATGCTCTCGCCCTTGTGCTGCAGAGGAAGATGTGGAGGGCCCCTCCTTCAGCCTGGAGTGAGAGGTAGAGCCAGCCCCTCTGGTGATAGCTGGTCTGCTCGGGCTAGAGCCCATGACTCTGGTTTTAGCATCTTTCTCACAGCAATTCTGGGCCTGCCTGAAGCCCTGATCCCTGTGCAACTGCTCTGGGTGAACCTGGTGACAGATGGCCTCCCAGCCACAGCACTTGGCTTCAACCCACCAGATTTGGACATCATGGAGAAGTTGCCCCGGAACCCCCGTGAGGCTCTCATCAGTGGCTGGCTTTTTTTCCGGTATTTGGCTATTGGAGGTGAGCAGGGCCCCAGACCGCAGGAGCATCCTAGGTTTGCAGACTGTAAATAGTGCAACTCAACCAGCTTCTGCTAACAGAGTCTGTGGGCTCGTGTGACTGAGAAGACTAGGCACAGGGCATGGCTAGTCTGTCACTCTGCCTGATTCAAATAGGACCTCTGACTAACCTGGAGCTTGCTTTTGGTGGGGGGTGGGCTGGGTAGACTGACTGGCCAGCAAGCTTCAGTGATCCTCCCATCTGTATCTTACAAACCCAATGTGCTGGGATTACAGGCACACATGGCCACATCCAGCCTTTACACGGGAGATAGGCATCCAAATTCAGATCTTCATGATTCTGTTCACTGAGTCATCTCCCCAGCCGAGGGAGATTTGGAGTTTATTTTTTATAAAAGTCCCAGGCCTGTTTATTAGTGCAAATTAGATCAGTCATTATGCCCAAGAGTGTGGCAGATGAGAGTGCTACTCAGGGCCACCGTTGGCACAGGGTAGATGGCTTATGGAGGAAGAGGAAAATTCAAGGAGTGGTGGGAAGCGGGCATGGACGCAAAGAATGTCACTTGCTGATTGCAATGTCTCCTCCACAGTGTATGTAGGCCTGGCTACGGTGGCTGCCGCCACCTGGTGGTTCCTGTACGATGCTGAGGGACCACAAGTCACCTTCTATCAGCTGGTGAGCCAGTAGAGGCTAGGCGGGTGGGCTTACAGATTACGTGGTTGAGGGAGTTCTGGAGAGAGACTCAGCCTCCATGACCAGCCTGCTGCTGTCCTTTCCCATCCTTGGGTGTGGATACTATCCTTCAGGGAAGTAGGTTGGTTGGACCTGGAAACCCACAGGGTCAATACAGCCTCCAGCTTAAGGAAATACCACACAGCACAGTGTGGAACAGCCTTAGCGTAGTTCAACTCTAGAAACAAGCCAGACACCCTCTCGGCTGCTGTCTGTCCTTCTGGTCCTTTGCTTGAAGCAGACATCACAGAACAGTGGACAAGGGTAGCTGAAGATGGTGGGGCCCTTCCTTGATGGATGCCACCTGCATTATTGCAGAGGAGGTAGCCCTAGGACCATGTTCTGGTACCCAGCAGCCCTCAAACTCAGAGACCATCTCTTCCCCTTCCCCACAATACAGAGCATAATCCATCCTCCTTCAAAGGCTAATATCCGTCCCCTCCTGTCCTCAGCCAGGGATCAGCTCCTGGCTGATCACCTCAGCACCTCTGGCTACCATGGTAGCTGTGGACTAGAGCGTGGAACCGTGCCTCCACCCAATCACTGTCTGCTTCCACCCTTTAGACCAGTGGTTCTCAACCTTCTTAATGCTGCAGCCCATTAATACCATTCCTCAAGTTATGGTGACCCCTCCAGGCATAAAATTATTTTCGTTGCTACTTCATAACTGTAATTTTGCTGCTGTTATGAGTTGTAATGTAAATCTCTGATACATAGAAACTTTGAAAGAGTTGTTTGACCCAGGGATTGCGACCCACAGGTTGAGAACCTACTGCTTTGGACCAAGGATTCCCAGATCTCCAGGGATTTCTTTCCTCTCTTCTGAGAGCCCACCCCATGCATACTGTTACCTCCTCTGCAGTTTTCATAGGCCCCATGCAAGCCGTAAGGCCCACACCAAGGCTGTCTCCTTCCACACTGGCCTTGTCTCAGATACAGCGCCTGCCTGGTCACTCAAGCTGACACCTAGGAGTCACTTTAGACATCTTAAGCCTAGCACCCATCAGTCCCCAGTCAGCCTGGTGTGATGTGTTCTTCTCAACTTGTTCTATAGACCAGGTCAGCCTCGAACTCCCAGAGATCAGCCTGCCAAATGCTGGGATTAAACACAAGTGCCATTATCATCGCCCGCCACTGGTTGTTTTTTGTTTTATATCTATGTGTGTTTTGCTTGCTTGTATGTCTGTATGCCACATGTGTCCCTGGTGCCTGCCAAGGCCAGAAGAGGGAGTCAGAGTCCTGGAATTGTAGTTACAGTTGTAGCCTATCATGTAGATGCTCAGAGTTGAGCCTGGGGTCTCTGAAGAGCAAGTGCTCTTAGCCACCAAGATAGCTCCAGCCTCCAGTTTCATAACTTCTCAAACTTTTTCTATTTGTAACTCCCTCTCGTGCAAGAAATTTTTATGACCCCAAGTATATAGGTATTAAAATTCAAGCACAAGTCAATTATTTATTAATAGTAAATCATGAGGAAATACATTTTAAACTAATTCTGCTAGCTGGAACCTTAATCTCAGCACCCAGGAGGCAGAGGCAGGTGGATTCCTGGGAGTTCAAGGCTAGTCTGGTCTACAAAACAAGCTGCAGGCCAGCCAGAGATACATAGTGAGACCCTGTCTCAAACAACAGAAACAGACTGGAGAGATGGCATAGACATTAAAAACACTGACTGTTCTCGTAGAGGCCTGAGTCAGAGTCTCAGCAAATGTGTGACAGCTAACAACTATCTGTAACTCCAGTTCCAGGGGATCTGATGGCCTCTGAGGGATCAAGCACCACATGGTACGCAGACATGCACGCAGGCAAAACACCCGAACACATAAAATTATACACATATATATTTAAAGATCAGAACCAACAACAACACCTGTTTCTTTGGTATACATATCATTTTGCCATTAAAGAGGACCGTGAAGTGATGAGCTAATGAGCTGGACCCACTCACTCTCTCTGCTTTTGTATGGTCTGGGATCCAGATCCAGGGAATACTGTTGCCTGGTTTCAGGCTGGGGCTCCCGCATTGATTAACATAATCGAGACAGTACCCCACAGGTCAACCCAGTCTACAAGCTCCCTCCAGGCGATCCTAAGTTTCATCAAGTTGGTAGTAAAAATTACCCACCACACCCATACTCAGTCATGTGACCCCATAAAAGGTCTGACTCAGTTTCTGAAGCTGGGATTGGCCTGAGGACGTAGCTCAATTGGTAGAGTGTGGCATAGCATGTGTATACTCTGGGTTTGGTTCTCAGAGCTCTGTAAACTGGGTGTGTGGGCGGGGCACATGCCTGTAATCTCAGCTCTTAGGAGAGATCTAGCCAAGCCACAGTTGTCAATAGTTTTTCTCCTGTGTGACAGCGGAAGCTCATGTACAGAGCCAACAATGCTGTATTTGCTGCTAGGTCAGAACATCTGTCCTTGGACAGACACCTCTTGGAGGATTTATCTCTACAGCACAATGCCTAGTACTAAGCCCTGGCCTTAAGGATCTTCAGGCTCAGAGGAGACTTATAAGAATGGAATTATGTGTGGGAGACCCAGGTAGACTATCGGTTATAAATTGTTGGTTGCTCTCATCCCAATGATGTGGGAAAGACCAAGTCCGTTCCCCCAGACATCCTCAGTTTGGCATCTTACTGCAGGAGACACTGAGCAAGGCCAGTGAACAGAAAGAAAGCTCCCTTGGAGGGAGTAGAGCGGGGAGGCTTCCTTATGACGCTAACAGCTCTCAGGTTACAGAGGAAGTGTGTGTTAGGCTGAGCCCTGACAATTCATTGTCTATGTCTTAAGTAAAAAGCAGGGAGCAGGAAGTGAGGTAGGAATGGAACCTTGCATGATGACATTGAAGAGGGCACATGTGGGTTTTGTCTACTTCTGAGGTCAGTTCTATTTAAGCAGAATTGTGTTGATCAATCTTGATGTGCTTTTGTATATTTATGGGGTCTCTTTGGATTCCCCCACTCAAATTCTTGCACTTCAGAGACCCAGGAATCCCAGCCTGAACCCTCCCCTAACCCCATGGGCTCCCAGTGTCTCCCCCAGCCTAATGTCAGCTACGCCCATGACCCACAAACAACCACCCCAGGACAGTCCCTCTCTGACCCATCCCTTGCAGAGCTGTACTCACTGGTCATCCTCAGGTGTGTCCAAAGTTAGGGCAAGGATCCCCTCTCCTCCATCCAGCACCTCAGTAACAGTCGTTCTCCTGGGCCCTCTCACCTTGTCCTCAGAGGAACTTCCTGAAGTGCTCTGAAGACAACCCACTCTTTGCTGGCATCGACTGTGAGGTCTTTGAGTCCCGCTTCCCCACAACCATGGCCTTATCTGTGCTTGTGACCATTGAAATGTGCAATGCCCTCAACAGGTGAGCTGGGCAGAGGGATCCTGGGCTGGGATTAAGGGTCAGAGGAATCCAAGACAGACTGGGGTCTACGATCAAAGGTACTGGGATTGGGGTTCAAGGAAATTAAAGACTGAGGTCTGCTGAGCTCGTTGGGAGCTCATGGCCACTGGGCCAACAGTTAGAGAGTCTGCATGGGACCGACCTAGGCCCTCTGCATGTGTGTGACAGTTGTGTAGCTTAATCTCATAGTAAGGCTTCTCGCAGTGGGAGCAGGACCTCTCCCTGGCGCTAAGCAGGCTTTCGGTAGCCTGTTCCCCATGCTGGGTTAGGGGAGGAGCTCAGTCCTGCCTCAACTTGATGTGCCAGGCTTTATGCAAGCCCATGGGAGGCCTGCCCCTTTCTGTATGGAGATGGAAGAGAAGATGGGGAGGGGGTAAAAATGGGAAAGGGAATGAGATGGGAGGAGAGGAAGGATGGGAAACCGGTTGGTATATAAAATAAATTTTAAAAAGTTATTTAAATAAAAAATTTAAAAAGGAAAAGATTGCTGTCTATGGATCATAGAGGCCCCATGATGGATTCTGAGAGTCAGTAGGACCGGAATTGGGATTCAGGAGAGAAAGTTCTGGATTACAATGAAATGGAGGTCTAGGATTGAACCTGAGGGACAGAGAAAGTGGGCCCAAGCCCTGAGAGGGGTCTCTAGGGTGAATGGGGTGTGCAGAGAATACCCACCCTGGCTCTACAACCTAGGTAGTGAGGTGGTTGCTGAAGTGGGCGGGCCCACCATGGCCTGATAGATATCCTGTCCTGAGTGAGTCCCTGTGTGCCTTTGGCAGCGTCTCCGAGAACCAGTCACTGCTGCGCATGCCGCCCTGGCTGAACCCTTGGCTGCTGGGGGCTGTGGTCATGTCCATGGCCCTGCACTTCCTCATCCTTCTGGTGCCTCCTCTGCCTGTGAGTTGCCCCCCACGCCTTCTCCTTCCTTGGACACTAGGGGTCTCCTCCTTCCTAGGCCTGTCTATAATAGAAGCTCCATGAAGGACAGGAGAGACAGCAACGGGAAATGTGGCAAGCCATCACCCCCCAGAAAGGTCCCCACCTTCAGGAGACAGAAAAGGTGTAGCCCTCTCACCGAGGGAACTGCCTGGCCTGAGTAGAAGGCAGGGCCAGGGAAGGACTGGGCGAGCAAGGGATAGCACATCCTTGGAGAAACCTCGTAGGTGAAGATGTGGAGGAAGGACATGTGCACAGAGCCCACTGGGGTCTGGGTGGGTGACACAGATTCACAGCTGGCAGCCTGTAACCGGGTCTCCCTGCCCCCATCAGCTCATTTTCCAGGTGACCCCACTGAGTGGTCGGCAGTGGGGGGTGGTGCTCCAGATGTCTCTGCCCGTCATCCTGCTCGATGAGGCCCTCAAATATCTGTCCAGGAATCACATGGATGGTAAGTGGGAGGCACGGCCCCTTCCATGTCCTCATCAGCTTCCTCCAACCTGCCTCCCCCCACCATGCAGCGCTGGATGCAAGGTACATGGTAGGAGAGCTAGTTTTGGATCGTGACGTGGAGGACATAGAGGATCCTGGTGGCTGTGACCCAAGATGTTGCTGAGAGGTGTCTTGCACTGTAGGAACCTTGACTGGGCCTATTGGGAACACTGCTCAGGGCCACACCACTGCTGCCTCACTTGCCAGAACCCCCCCCCACACACACACACACACACTTCACCTCCACCCCTGCCACCTTACACACACAGAGGTGGATAAGATGCTATGGTAGTCCTGACCTTGGCCTCTGACCTCCCTGTACTGGCCTGTCTTTATCCAGGTATTCTGACAATTGTGCAGGTCTGGAGTAGGCAACCACTGACCACTTCCAGGAGCCCATGCTATACTGGGTTGGCTTCTTGGTGTCGCCTTATGGGTGGGAACAAGGGGAGGGTCTGTAGTCATCCAGGTACGATGGACAGTAGCGGGGCTGGGGACGGAGAGGAATCTACACTGCTGTGGAGAGGTTGGGCCCAGCAACCAGCTAAGACTTTCTTTGGGCAACGGGGACTTTGGGGGCCACTTCTAGCTGGAATGTGACCCCTGATCCAGGAAATAGTGGAGGCTATAAATAAATTCCATGCCTGACATTCCATAAAGGCCCCCACACCCCCATGCTAACCAAATCTACTGGGTACTGAAAACAATTGTCTTTTTAAAAGGACCTCAATGAGCCTTTCCTTCTCTGGAGATGCTGGCCTCCCAGGTCTGTACAAGGAATGGCTAGACTCAAAGAGCGCAGGAGTGGGGCTGAGGGCAGCTGGACCAGGCCTTTCTGCCCCTCCATATATGGTTCATTTGGGCTCGTCCTGGGTGAACCTGGGAAAGGCCTTGAAGAAATGGGTATGAATGGCCAGGTGGTGGTGTATGCCTTTAATCCCAGCACTTGGGAAGCAGAGGCAGGCTGATCTCTGAGTTCGAGGCCAGCCTGGTCTACAGGAGCTAGAAAAGAAACGGATATAATGGGTATGACACTAGAATGTCAGAATTCAGCTCTGGCTGGGCAGTGGTGGCACACTCCTTCAATCCCAGAACTCCCCAAGCCATATGTCCCAGCTGGAACACATCAGCTAGACGTGGCACCAGCTGTACTCAGGTGTACCCAGACTGAACCGGAGCATCACTTGAACAGGAGTTCAAGACCCACTTGGGCAGTGTAATGAAAGCTTGTCTCTGTCCTACAATATTTACATAATGTTTTATCTTGTTTTTCTCTGAAAGATTCTAAAGGGAGGCAGAGCTGTGGGTTCGAGACCAACTTTGTCTGCAGAGGGAGTTCTAGGACAGCCAGGACTACACAGAGAAACCTGTCTCGAGAAGCTACAAATAAAGTGGGAGGTGGGGGGAGAGAAAGAATTCCAGCTCTGGGCGGACAGCACAGGAGGGTCCCCCAGGAAACCCCTCTCTCCGTACTCAGCTCAACCTCACCACCTCACTTGTGAAGCCTGCCCCCTAGGAACAAGAGCATCTGGAGGCTGTTTTGTCTTCTTTGGGAGACATTGCTCATCCCTGGTGACCACAGCAGCCAAGGAGTTCAGCATGTTTTCTTGTGGAAATTTAAAAATGAAAAATGTCTCCCTATGGCTAAAATTTCTCATTCCCTTGGGGGAACCCTGTGTCTGGGATACAATTCCACACTGGATTCCTGGGCCCTATGGGAGGGCGGAGGCTAGATGGGGAGATTAGAGTGCCGCCCAGTTGGAGCTAAGGGTAATTGCTGGAAGATTCTAGATTAGAGTAGATTAGATAGACAACGTAGAATCTGGCAGGGTAGGGGCTGAGGTGTCTATACGGGAGCTGGTACCTGAAGTATAAAAGGGAAGCCAAGAGAACACAGAAAATCCGGCATGCCAAGATAAGGCCCTGGTTATTCTCAAGAAGTTGGGACCATAAAAGGTGTGTGGGCATGGGGCAGGGGGCTATGACAACTAGAAACCTTCTGAGGCGATACTAGAATAGAAGAATATCAGCAAAAGAGATGCGAAGCCAGCCTGAGGAAGAAATCTTGGCCCAGGACGAACTGACCCAAGCCGCACCTTTACTGACCTTTTTGACCTGAAATGGTGACCACCATGGTCTCGAAGAAGTTTTATTTGAGTGACCACGAGTCTTCAGGAGGGACCTGGGCTGGGCACCTGTGGCTGCCCCTGGGGAGTGATGTGCTTGCTGAAGTCCAGCCGGCTCTGCCTTGAGCCGGCAGGCGGCCACAATCCCTTGGGCCTCCTAACGCTGGGCAGGGCGGGGGTGAGAGAGGGGACCCTTTACGTTCCCAAGCCAGCGAGTGGCCTTTTAGGGAAGTTTTACTGAGGCCTGACGCTTGTGGTTTCTCTGTGATTTACGAGGATGTGTCCTGAGGAGAATTGTGGATCTAGGGTCAGCCTTGGGACTGGGGGGTCCTCTCTCTCCACCCTTGGCGCTACTCAGGTGTGAATGAGTGACTGTCAGGAAGCTGCAGGCTGGGATGGAGAAGCTGAGAGGGGATGGGTCTGAGAGAGTCCAAGGTACAAGGTGGACCCAGAATTCATCTAAGGACAGTGGAGCTACATGGAGGATGACGCGAAGGATGACAGGGCCAGATTGGGGGTTTTGTGTGATGCCAGCAGTAAATGGGAGGTATTCAGGCAAGGCGGACTGGAATTGGCCCCTTAGTCCTTGTATGGGCTGCAAAGGTAAAAGGCAGCTTGAGCGTGTTCAGTTGAAATCAGACCATGTGGGATGGGGAGGAGGCAAGGAAGATCCCCTGCTTATGGATGGAACAGTGATGGGAACATTTTCCAAACAAAGAAATATGAGCGTTTTCTTTGAGAGTATTGTGGGACACACAGAGAGCAGCTGGATTCCTGGGGTTGGGGCTCAGTGAGGCTAGGGATAGACCAGGTATGGAAGGTTCCAGGCCAAGGCAAGTGGGGGCTGGCCCTGGAGAAATGGAGGGCGAGAGGCTGAAGGGGGGGCTGAAAGGGCACCCTACATATCTCACTCCTCATCTTAATATGATTTCTCATATTATTTTTTCCTCCAGAAAAAAAGGACCCGAAGTAAGTCCTGGGATCAAAGAGGAGTCTCAGTATAGCCATCGGACTGGTAGCGTCCAGGCGTTCATCCCAGTTCCCACCCCTGCCACCACACTCAGCCACCTGTCTACTGGACCCTGCTGGACATGACAGGCCTGAAAGAATGACCACCTCTAGGCCCAATCCCAGGTTCCTGCCTCCATTTCCATCCCTCCCTCCAGCTCTGGCCCAGAAATTGAGCCCAGGAGGAGCAGCTAAGAAGCCAGAGCTGGCTGCAGGGCCACCACACACTCCCCCACAGCTCTGCAACCTTTCCCCTGCTTGGAGGCTGGGCCTTTGCTCACTTAGTTCGCTTGGTCACTAGTGCCTCTGCCCTGATGGAGGGCTCATGGGGGCCTTCTTACAGACTCTGACCCCTTGCTTAGTTTGGGTCTGGAGCCTGATCAGCTGTGGGAAGGAGAAGTCAGAGGGAACCATCTGGGCCCAGCTGTGCTCAGAAGAAGGGGCAGCCCCTTCCACTTGGCTCTGCCTCCACCAAGTCCACTCCTGAGAGCGGGAGCCTGTGTCTGTTTATATATGCGCTGGCCCCAGGGAGTTGAAGCATCACAGACAGATAGAAACACAAGAAGCAGGAGGAGGGGCTGGACCAGCCTGGGCTGACTGACTGGACTCAACCCTATTCCCACTTCTCACTGTCCATGTCCCTGGTGCCTGAGACTTCAGACATCCCTGGGTCTATGTCAGCTTGTCCTGCCACACAGCCTGGTGTGAGGCCATGCCGCTCGCTGCAGGGCTGGGTGAGTCTGAGTCTCCTGGACCCCTGGGCATTACTCTTTGTCCCTCTCTTCCCACCGTACATATTTGAGTCAAAGAGTCGTCACTAGGATGGATGCTCCAAGAGGGACTGCCTAGCCCTACCTCCCCACTGAAAGAAAGCATCTCACGGGGATCTATCAGATGAACTGATTTTGGTGTTACTCGGTTTTTGTTGTTGCTGTCGTTGTTGTTCCTCTCAACTCTGCTGTTGCTCCTTTGACAAAAACTAGCTAGGTGTCACAGAAAACAGAGCAAGTGCCTGTCTGCGTGAGTTAGCTCTTCCTTGAGTGTGAACAATGTGATTATTTTATATGTCAATCAAGATTCACATCCCTGTCCTGACTTCCAGTACCCAAAGCCCCCTCAGCCTGCCTTGCCGACAGATGAACTCCGTGTTTGGTAGCCTACTCTCTCGCACGTCCTCCCTCCCCTCTGGTGGGTTTCTGGAGGGGCCTCAGAGAGAAACAGAGTTGGAAGGATGGCTTGACCTGAACGGAGCCCTGTGCCCACCTGCCGACATGCTTCCTGGTAGAGAAATAAAACGTGTGTCTGGGGGATTGGAGCTGTCGTCATCTTGTCTGAACCGTGGGCTCCTGTCTCTGTGGCGACCAGGGACCCATCCACCCAGAACCCAGCAAAGTCCATGTCTGGGATCCCCACATTGCCAGGGTTCATCTCTTACTCGAAGATAGGGCTTTGAGAAACACTAAGTTAGAATCACAAGACCAGAGCCACACCCCAATGGCAGAAATGGGGTGAGCCTGAGCCTGCTTCTTGCTCTGCTGGTTGGCAGTGCTCAACAGTTTAATCATGTATTTTATGATTAATATGTCACCTCAAGGGAAGAGGAACTGGGGGTACGATGAGACAGAGCTGGGCCTGGAGCCTGCATTTCAGGAGCCCATGTACCTCAGAATCCCTGGCAAATGCCTGCCCTGTTACTCTTCCTGGGCTTTCTTGCCTGCTATGTTTTTATCCCCTCAGGCCTCCAGCAATCTATCTCACCTCAATGATTTCTATACCTTCCCTACCATTTTCCTCAACTCCCACCACCCCGGGATGTCTCTGTAATGGTGCCTAATATGAACCAGCTTCTGCAGGTGATCCTGGGAGGCAGTTGTAGGAAGGGACTAGCCATGTCTCTAAAGAGAAGGCTCACCATGAAGGATTAGCATTTATCCTCTATCTGGCTGTCCTGGGATGGAGACCCAGATACCTGGGCCCTGTTGAACAGGGAATGACTGTTATAGGCAGGACTGACTACAGTCATTTACAGAATCCATTGCAAAGTGAAAACCTGGGACCCCCAAATTACTCACTGAACTGGGCTGGGCTCCAGCCAGCAAGAATAAAACAAATTTTTAAAAGCCCAAGGTACACCAAAAAAAGAAAGAACGAAAGAAAGAACGAAAGAAAGAAAGAAAGAAAGAAAGAAAGAAAGAGGAAAAAAAAGGACCTAAGGCTGGGCAGTAGTGGTGCACGCCTTTAATCCAGCACTCAGGAGGCAGAGGCAGGCGGATCTCTGTCAGTTTGAGACCAGCCTGGTCTACAAGAGCTAGTTCCAGGACAGGCTCCAAAACTACAGAGAAACCCTGTTTCAAAAAAACAAAAAAACCAAGCAAAAACAAACAAACTAAAGCCCAAGGAACTACTGGGATGGGAATAGAAACCAGAGGTAGAGGAGTTTGAGACCCTAGTGTTGGGGAAGGAAGAAACCCGGAATTTCAGTGCCTAGTTCAGGGATTCTCTACATGTGGGCTCAGTGCTATGATCCAAGTCACATCTGTGAAGCTAGTTGTGACAGAGGAGACAGCTCACACCCTGAGGAACTCACAAGGGTTTAACTTTCCAGCAGAATGGTTAGAAGTATTCTTAACCACACAGACATCTGTAAGGCCTCTCAAATATAAAACCCAGCGCTCCTCTCCTAGGGTCTTAAGCCCCATGCTATGGAGAGGCTGAGGGCAGAGGCTCCAGCTAACAGATGAGGAACCCGTTGGAGGCTCTGTCTTTCTGGGTGTGGGAATGAGATAGCCTAAACCCCAAGGGAACTCACAGAGGAGGTGTGTGGCTCCAGCGTCTCCCACAATCCCTAGGGCATGGTGGCCTCTACCCCCACCAGGGCTTACCCAAATCCATCTCTGTCCAGCACACAGCATGGAGTCTACAACCCAAGGCTGGGCAGCCAAGCTAAACAGAGAGGTTTCCTCACCTCACCCAGGAGGGAATTCCCAGGCAGCTGCCAAGATGCCCCTGGGTCCCCTTGCTTCTCTGAGAACCAGGACTTTGTGCTCTCCAGGCCCCCTTTACGAGGGGGAGGGAGCAGGGAGCAGGATGGAGTTATGTTATGTGATGTGGAAGAAGAAAATGAAAGACAGTAGGGAAGGGAATGTGGACATCAGAGACCTGAGCCCAAAAGGCTGCGTGCTTCAGAACTAAGTCCTTCTATAGATGGACGGACCATCCGTGATATGTCTGCACAACAGGAAATCTTCAGCAGCGAAGGCATACATGACCACACACATATAGAACCACATAGGTACCTTAAAACCATTGTGATAAGTCAGCCTTGGTGGTGCCCTTCTAAAAATCTCAGCACTAGAGAGTCTGGGGCAGGAGCATCGCAGCAAGGTCTGGGCCAGCCTGGACTACAAAGTGAAATCCTGTCTCAATTAAATAAAGAAATTATCTTTGTGTTGGATGAAAGAGACAAGACACTAAAAGCTCAGCCTATGTGCTTGCACCTCCATGGACTTCCACAGAAGGCAGGACAAATCTAAACGACTGCAGATCAGTAATTGCTGGATATAGGTGCTGGAGAAAGAGAGGCTGCAAAGGGCAAGGAGGAGCCAGTGGTGCACACTGTTAGTCCCAGCACTGAGGAGGCAGAAGCAGGAAGATCTCTGAGTTTGAGGCCAGCCTGGTCTGCAGGGCGACTTCCAGGACAGCCAGGACATCACAGAGAAACCCTGTCTCAAAAAACCTAAGTGGGAGGAATCAGGAGGCACCCTTCTAAAATGATGGGTCAGAAAGTAACTACATGTATTTGTCAGGACTCATCAAACTGTCAAAAGTGGAAACAAAAAAAGTGAATTTCACCTTAACTTGGTTTTATTTAAAAGAAAGTAAGTAAGGTAGGTAGGAAGGAAGGAAGGAAGGAAGGAAGGAAGGAAGGAAGGAAGGAAGGAAGGAAGGAAGGAAGGAAGGAAGAAAGGAAGAAAGAGAGAGAGAGAGAGGGAGGAAGGGAGGAAGGAAGGAAGGAAGGAAGGAAGGAAGGAAGGAAGGAAGGAAGGAAGGAAAAAGAAGCCAGAGGTGTAGCGTGGCTGGTAGAATGCTTGCCTGGCATGCACAACACCCTGGGGTTGTGATCTCCATCTCCACATAAACTGGTCTTGGTGGTATTTGTCCAGAATCCCAGCACTTCAGAAGTAGAGGCAGGAGGATCCAAAGTTCAAAGTCATTCCCATTGCATGGCAAGTTTGAGGTCAGTCTGAGATGTATAAAAACTATATCTTAAATAGATAAGAATAAGAAGATATAATAAATGTTTATTTATATCTTAGAATAATAGGTAATAAGAAGATGTAAGTGGACCTGTGCTACCTATGGCTGCCTCTGTCACAGTCTTGAGAAGTGTCAAAAAAACAAGCCTCTTGAATGAATGCTTAGTGTTGAAGAGAGGGACCTACATCAGCCAGAAGTCCCTTACCACCAGACAGAAGAGGTCTGAGGGGAAAGACCCAAAAAGAATGGCAATGGACCAGCAGACCGTGATGCCTTGGACACTGAAGGACAGAAGTCAGCCTGGTCATGGCCCACAGTGGGAGGGAAGAGGTCTGGAAAATTTAGACAGTGAGGAAAAGCCAGCCCTTGGGGCCATGGCTGATACCCAACCTTCTCCATAGACCTCCCCTTGACTGATAGGTCAAGAGCTCTGTTCCAATAGCATTGGAGGGGCTGTTGGATGTTGGGGTGACTCTCTGAGGGCACCAGGGCAGACCCATGCAGTGTGAGAGTCAGATTGCCAGGGATAAGACTTTGGTACCCTGAGTGTATAAAGATACAAGTTGGAATCGATGCCACCCACCCTGTTGAGGACTCAGGCTGCCCTCCAGGCTTGGGCAGTGACTCCAGGATGGGCACTGGCCCCCTCCATACCCACAGAGT